TGTAATCCCAGCTACGTGGAAAGGTGGGGCGGGAGAATCACTTGAACCCAGGAGGCGAAGGTTGCAGTGAGCGGCGATCATGCCACTGCACTCCAGTTTGGGAGACAGAGGGAGATCCTGTCTCAAAAAAAAAAAAAAAAAAAAAAAAAAGGAGTTATCTTTAGATGGGGGGAATGACTAGAAAGGGGCATGAGAACACTTTCTGGGGTGACCAGAATATTATGTATCTTCACTTTGGTGTTGATTTCGTGGGTATAAATATTATCAAAAATCATTGGGATGCACACTTAAGATTTGTACATGTTACTGTAGGTAAATTTCAATTGCACAAAAGGAAATTGAGTTTTACTGTTTTTTAAAAACCCTTTTTTAATTTGGCCCTTGACTAGGCCTGCCTTTCACCAGAAGATTCTTTGCTTTCTTCCCAGCCCTACTTACAACCACAAAAAAAGGACAGACATGTACAACTAGGGATTCCTTTAGGCCAAAGAGTGATCGTCCAGACCAAATTTGATGTCTCAGCAGGCAGGCCAAACAAGCAACTTAGCTCTGGCCAGCCCCATTGTACTCCCTAGAATGTCAACCACAACCTTACACCAGCAGAAGCCTTTGCCTGTGGGGAATGTCATTAGCCAGTGACACTAATAATACTATTTCCATTTGAAAATCAATACTAAAAGTAATTTCAAAGGGCAGAAGCAAGAATAGCCATGAGAACCGCTTTACAGTAATCACAATAAACAGTCATTGTAATTTAGACTTAATATTTATTCCAACTCAGATCCCATAATAACATAGTCCTTCATATTACCATCATGCCTTAAGAATCAACAATTTATTTCTTTTCTAATAAAAACCCCCCATTTTCAGAGTTAATACTCTGGAAAACACTGCTTTGAAGGAAAAAAAAAATGGCCATTTAATTCAAGGAGAAATTAGATCTTAGACTTGGAGTGGTGGTCATAATTAATACTATATATTATTTCACTTTCTTTAGGAAATTACTGCATTTACCTGGAAATCCACATTCTTAGAAAAGTTTCATCAATATATGACATTAAAAAAAAGTGATATATGACATTGAAAAAAATGATATATGACATCCAAAAAAGTAATAAAATTCCATGTTAAAAAAAGTCAGAAATAAGATTCAACTAAGTTTGTAGAGCTGATATATTACAAATAGGAAACCTACATTTCAAGCTGATGAGGACTAAGATGACCCATGTTACACAGGACAATGAGCCTGAAATCCACTCTTGAGCCTGTGCTGATAAATCATGGTGATGATGTGTCTTCTTGATAGGGAAACCAATCAGTGACTGCAGAAAATGAGTTATGCTGACATTTGTGTTCTGTACTAATTGCATATATTATATGCCTAATCTTCACATTTCAAAGATAATGTTAAGCTGAGCAAGGTAATAGACATGTAGGCTCTCCATTCATCCACTCTACTTTAATGCCCATGGTTTTTTTTTCCTCCCTCCTCCAATTGCTTAATCTTGACAATTATTTTCCACTCTTTTCAAATTTCTCCACTCCAAAAATATAAGTCATACTGAAGCAGACACTAGAAAGCCTTTTTATTGGATATATTTGAAGAGCTGCAACACATTTTGTTCTGTGTTGATTGTAATTCCCAGAATGAGAAGTTGATTTGGACATTAAACAGCACAGCTGCAAAGAGACCTGGAACGCTAACAGTTTCATCTCCTTACTCACCACCTTACAAATCAGCCCTCTGGCTTATCCAATTCCAATTCCAATTCTCTCCTTGATTCCAATTCTCTCCCCAGTCCTGACCCTGTCCCTAAGGCTACCCGTAACATCTCCCTACTATGGGCATAGACTTCAACTCCTTCCTGCACCCCACAATTCACCCTCTGCTTCTTACCCAAGCCCCAACTCAACATCCATTCCCACTCCAACCTCATCCACATATCGAGACCTAGGACACATATGCACCTTTTAAATTATTTGAACTGTGCTGAAAAGAGGCTTAGAAGAAGGAGTACTAAGATGGAAGATACAGTACCCCTAACCCATGCCCCAACTTGTTCCCCTTTCTAGCTTTAGCCTTTGTCAATAAAGCAGCTATATGCCGCTACAAATAATAATGAAGAGGATTTACGTACAATGTACACTCATATTGTGCACCTATCCCCAAGAACAGACCAACATTTCTGATTAGAGATCTCCCTGGTCACACCTCCTTAGCAAGGCTACGATCACCTCCTTCAGCACAGAAGAGAGCATGTGGCTTATGACACTGTATGTAAAACCATGGGACCATGATGACAGAGTAGAAAAAAAAAGTCCCTACATGAGTAATAGACAGATGATCATTGCTACTTTTTAATAAAGTTCACCAACCTCATAATTTCTTTTTGATAAACTACCTCTAAACCTCTGCTTTTGCCTGGCCCAAGTCTGAGAAAGACACTTGATGAAACCTACTATAGTAAACCACAACGATCAAGATGATCTTTTGGAAGGCATTCAGGACGCAAGCCTAGATATGCTGGCTACATGACCACAATTCCCTATTCTTTGTAAGTAGGGTAGGGTAGAAAGACTATTGGAAAAAAGCCAGAAAGTGAACAAAAATGAACTATGGTATAAATGTATGGGGCCACCATGATCCAGTACAACAGCAGCTATAGAAGTGGCTGGCTTTTTGAACTATGCATGGAATTATCCTCCATTGTCCAGCAGCCAGACTGAGCCCAGCCTGACAACAGTGCCGTCTCACCAAGAAAACCCACAGCCTACATGGCCTTGAAACTTGCCTGGATATGGTGGCTTTTAGGCTAAGCACAAAGGAAAGGGTTGTTGAAAAAAACACACCCAACTCCAAACATGTAGCTACAAACCTAAAGACAGTTTTGAAAGCAATAATTAGCTAGCATATTTACTTAATCCAAAAAGGTTTGGTTTCATCTATAGCAGCCTAGAAAATTTCCGATACCACAGGAAAACTGTTGCAATAAACCAGAAACAGACTTAACTGAGTGCTTGTCCAACAGAAGACTGCTGAAAAGGTCTTATGTGACAAGGTAGAGAATGAGTCAAAGCTAAGAGAATATCTGCTTGAACAAACAAATATTATGCTTATTTCTTCCCTGGAATGGAAACAGATCCTCTAATCCAAGAGCCGTGTGACTCAAACTATATACCCATCTGCCAATTTTAAAGTTTATACAAAGCATAAATAAATACACAAACAGCAACTGGCTGCACAAGAGGCCTTTTTAATAGTTTCAAACAGAATCAAGGTCCCTGCCTTCTTTCTAAAGAGAACAGCCTATCTTGTCTGGCTATATTTTTGAAAAGGTTATGACAAAGACCAGTGTCCATCACTGGTCTTAACCTCAGTGAATTGAAGAAAATGTCATTTAAAAAGACAATCAGCAATTTATATACTCTTAAAGCCATATTTCATTCAGCAGCACAAAATAATTTACTAGAAACCTACTACCTGTGCTTTAAAAGCTCTAGAAACACTGTACTCTATAATAATCTATGTAGCTTTAATACACTGTGGGTCTGAGCCCTAACTGATGGGGGTGGGAGGCTGAATTTAAATGAGCAGTAGGCTCTGACAACAGATCATAAAATTCATTCAAACTGTTACTAAATTATTTTACTTCATCCAATCATTTGTCACACCACTATTCAAAATTAAATGTGTGTATATTCGAAGTATCTATGAAATGCTTGATCCTACATCTTGCTATGTTACAAAGAATATGCCGATTTGTTTTTTAGCTTAAAAAATTAAAGATGACCTACATATAGGAAATTTGTAAGTAAGGAAAACTCTTCAGAAATATGGTCAACATATATAAACTCTATTGACTAAAAGATAGACCTTGTATCTTTCATCTCTAATATAAAAAGCAGTCTTTAAAATTTAGTCATGTAAGACTTTTCATTACTTGAAAGAAGAAAATACTAATGTCTACTACACATTTCCTATTTTGAAAATGCTCTAAATTCAACAACCAACAGAAAGGCTGAAATGGCAAGCTTGCTCTTAGCAGCCAAAAGCTTCCCATCTCCTCGAGGAAGTAAATCCTGTTCTTAAAAGTTTCCTTGTAAAATTAATTTATTCTAATTACAACCATAATTTCAAGTGCTAATTACACAATTCCTACAGAGGTATGTAGTTTCAAATGTGACGAGTCAACATAAGAAAATGTTATGACACATGCCTAGTACAAATTTTCATTATCGAATTACAGAAACCTGTCCTGTTTCCAGATGCATTAATCCATTCTGGACCACTGCAAATTATATTCCTAAAACAGCAACTCATTTTATGTGAATGAATTTGGTTTCATGGTCTTTCAAAGGTAGCCTGAAATAAACCTGAAGTAACCACCTGATGGAAATCAGGATCCAAAGTTTCAGAAGCAAACGTGAAATACTTTCAGATTCAACAGGGTAATGAGGTGACTAGATCAATCTGGTGCTACAGTCTTTAATTACATTTATTTCTCTGGGCCCTCAGTGGAAAACAAAACGGTTTAATGACCCCGAAGTCATTTTCCTTTATCATATAAATGCCTGTTTGAGACTCCACAAGCTCTGGAAACCTACAGCAGTAGTTCTACTTTCCGAAGTTATTCTTTCATTTGGGATTGAATGCTAGCCTTGAGCCAGACCCGGGGCAGCAACGACCCCTAAGACAACAGATCTAACCCCTCCACAAACTTCCGTAACCTTTCCTCAGCCATTCGCCTAGTTGGGGAAGAAATGGCTCCATTTAAAACAAGGATAAAGGCCCTGAGCTGAAGACTTTGACAACTTTCCGCGGGGGAGGGCTGGCGCTGCCCTAGAATCTCCCGGGAAAGAAAGCTCTGAGAGATGGGGAGAGGCGAGAAGGAGGAGAGGAGAAAAAGGAACAGAGAAAGGAGTGGGAGTGAAGGGGGCCCGAGGGCTCAGGGAGGAATTGGGGCCCCATGAACAACAGCTGGGACTCCCCGCGCTGCAACCTCACTTCTGCAGCGAGGACTCGGCCTGGGTCGCTTCGGTCCAGTGTGCTTGGGGCCCTCAGGGCTAGTCCAGCCCACTCCAGCGTCTGCTCTGTGGCCATTCCGGACACTCGCACCTAAGGCACCTGCCGTTCCCCACTGCTCTTCCACATTCCCTCTCTGAGCCTCTCTCTGCACCGCGGTCTCCAAGGCCGCTGTCTCCAGTTTACATTCGGGAGCTAATCATAGTCCTCAAAAAGGCAACGGCTAGAACCGGCAAGGGGTGGGGGGCGTCCCCTTCCTTTGCCTTAGTTCTCCCCAGCCTGAGGACCCCTTTGCTGCGCCTCCCCAGCCCGCCCATGGGAGGCTCCGGGCAGAGGCGCGCACTCCAGGGTGCCCCGAGTGAGGTGGCTGAACCCCAGCAAGCAGAGGAAGGGGGACTGCCCCCTCCCACGGAGGCCCACTCATGCTGGGCACTAGTGGCAAGGGGACAACAGCCTTTGTTCTCCTGGGTCTTGGCGAGGCTGCGCTGCCAAAGCACAGCGCGGGCAGCGCCGGGGCACCAGGATTGCTCACTTTGGCACGCGGCGTGTCGAAGGGTGCAAGCTCCTGCCTTCCGCGGGGGGTGGGGTGGATAGGGAGTTTGGGATTAGGGGGTGTATTGGGGGAGGAGTGGGGGGAGGGGTTCTGCGTCTCGACCAGGCTCTTTGTTTGCACTGGGGGCAGGGAGAGGGGGCTGAAGGTGGGTTCAAGCTTGGGTTCTGAGAGCAGGGCAGATTCCTGAGTATGTCACCATGTTGCACGCGCGCAGCACACATATGCACACGCGCGCACAAGCATACACATGCACTCATACAGACAGGCGGCCGTCAGCAGACAGCACGGTTCCCGGCGCTCCCGGCTGCAGCAGCTTCGTCTGCCCGCAGCGCCACCACCGTGTGTCCAGAGGGGGAGTGGAGGAGGCTGGAGGCACTCGAGGGGCAACAATTCCGCGAGGAAGGAGGGAAAGTGGTGCAAACGTAGATCCACCCCCTGACGGCCTCTGCCCCCCTTTTTCTCCCGGGGTCGCAGAGGTCATGGGTAGGTTAGGCTCCAGGAGGGAGGTAGGGAGCCGCCGGAGGGCGGCGCGCACGCGTGGGGGCGAGGGAAACGAAGGAAAGGCAAGCAGGCGGACTCGGCGGGCGGGCTTACCCTTAGAAGCATCTTTCTCCTCTTTGGGCTTGGTCACCTTTCCACTCATAGATCCCAGCTTGCTTGACAAGGTTCGCTCAGAAGACGGAAGTCCTCGCGGAGCGGGCCGGACTTGGGAGAGTGCTTAGGCTGGCAAGTCTCGACCACGAGCTCCCCTCGGTGTGGTTCGGGGCGGAATTCGCTTTCCCCCACCGCTGCCGCCGCCGCCGCTGCCTAAGAGAGAGTCGGGAGGAAAGGAGAGGGGTGAAGGAGGAGCCGCGGTCGCCGCAGCCGCGAGCCTGAGCGGCCGGCCACGGGAGGAGCCGCTCGCCGCGCTCAAGAAGTGAAGAGACAAAGCGGCGCGGCGCTTCCTACGCGCCCCGCGCCCTCAGCTCCTGCCCGCCTGCAGAGAGCCACGCTTACAACCCCCGGGGCGGCAGAGAGGCGCGGCCGGGACTCCCCGGCTTCGCTGCCGGCCTCCCTGGGTTCCGCGCGGGCCGCTCGCCGGGAGTTGCCTGGGTGGGGTGCCCGCACACTGGCGGGCTGCTTTCCCCCGCCTCTCCCAATCCGCTGCGGGCCGCCAACTCGATGAAAATAAAACCCCGAGAAAGGCTTTTTAAAAAAATCAAAACAAAGATAAAAATATTCACTTAAAAATAACAAGCCTCTCCGAAAGGGAAATGTTTGAACATGTGATGAGCAACGTGTGAGCCTGTTACACCGCAGAGCCGCGCAGCTTCTCGCCCTCGGGGAATCGGGAGGAGAGGGTCGCCTCTTTTCTTTCTATTTAATCCATTTTCAGGTTCCTATTATTTTGCCAAAAAGGGGGCCGGAGTTGGTCGCCCGCGAAGGATTGGGAGACGATGGCCCTTACCTGCTTGCTTTCTCTCTCTCCCTACACCCACACCCCCTCGGAGCTCGCCCGCTCCCTCGCTCGCACTCTCCTTCCAAAGAACTCTCCGGTCCCAGAGAGCCACGAATCAACACCGCGGCGCATTCTATATAAACGGCAAGGTGTGGGCACGCGGAGGGTGGGGGCTGGCGAAGGCGGGGCCTCACAAAGCCGCCTGCCCGCTGTAGTAAAAGGAGAGCTCGGCAGGGGCGCGCAGACGTCAGCCGCCAGTTGACAAAACCCCGGCGAGCCCCGCGTAGTGCTGGCAAGCGTGTCTGCTGGGCGTCCCCTGGCCCCTCCCGGGCAGTGTGCCGCTGTAGCGGGCTCGCACCGTTGGCCGAGGAGATGGAAGTCGGGTGCTCCCCCACCCTGGCCCCTGTTACTCCTCTGCTCCTAGCGCCTGCTTTCCCAGGTCCGCGCTGCTCGCCACCTACACTTTGGGAACTCCCCTGTTAGCAACTGCTCGCAAGGAGCAGTGGAATCTCAGCCGGGAGTCGATGACTTTTCGCTTCTGGCTAGCTGCTCAAGTTGAGACAGCCGGGCTTTCAGGGAGGAGAGAAGGGCTCTCTGGGATCTGGGTGTCACTAGGTCAGAGAGTGAAACTGTCCTAGGCGGCTGCCACCTCCCACCCCCAACCCGCACGCAGGCCCCTCCTTCTAGGGCTGGTCCCTGGGGTTGGTAAACTGGAAGCAAAGAGTGTCCACCGCCCAGGATGGCCAATCCCAGGCAAAAGGGCGAGGTGGGACTGGGGACGAGTACTGAAGAGGAATAAGTAGTATTGAAACGTTGCTTGAAAATGCTTGTGACAAAACCCAGGGAAGGTCCCTGAAGATTAGAACTAGAAGGAAAACTGCTCAGAAATTGTTCTACAGAGGGCAGATGGGTATGGAAAGAGAAAAAGAAGAAAGAGAGAGAGAAAGGAAGGAAGGAGGGAGGGGAGGGAGGGAACGAAAGGAAAGAAAAAGAAAGAAAAAAAGGAAAGGAAGGAAAGAAAGAAGAGAAGAAAGAAGAAAGGAAGAAAGAGAGAAAGAAAAGAAAGAAAGGAAAAAAGGAAAAAAGAAGGAAGGAAAGAAAGAAAGAAAAAGTGAAAGAAAGAAAAGAAAGAAAGAAGGAAAGAAAGAAAGAAGAAAGAAAGAAAGAGAAAGGAGAAAAGAGAGAAACTGACTAGGTAAGGAGGATGAGATGTTAGGAAATGGCTCCTGGGGCGTCCTGGAAAATTTCTTCTGTGATGGCCTTTTTTGTGCATCCAAATCCCTGGTAGCCTCGTGCTCTGTTGAGGGACTGGGGTGGTGACTAGCAGTACTTGGCCCTCAGAACCATACATTAATCAGACCTTAGGCCTCAGCCTGCCCATGAAGGCGCAGTCGCGACTCCCACGCAGAAAATTCGTTTTCCCTCATCCTACTCAGACCAACCGCTTCTTAATTCGGTTTTGTTAATGGCATTAAACCAGGCGAAGAAATCATATAGATGGATTAGTCTTACTGAATTCCAGGCGGTAACTCAATTACAAGAGCCTGCTATGGCTTTCAAAACCAGGAGTGTGGGCTGCCCCTGCTCTCAGTCCCGGTCTAAAGGTCGGCAACCCTCTAAACTCAATTTGCAGCCTCCATCCTCAGTCTGAGAGGAACTCCAGGCCCATTTTTTCTTGTAAATAATATCTAATAATCTGGAGCTTGATGACACAATGTGATTATCCAACCCAAAGTTAGACCATTAATTAATATCAGTTGTCTGGGAAGGAAAACATTTCTCTTCAAATGATCGAATTCAAAAGGAGTGAAGGTTTAGATGAGTTTAGAGGAAAGGTCGAGGAGAAGGGACATCCTACCCCAAACCTCAGCATTACGCAGTATACCCATATAATGAATCTGCCCATGTACCTCCTGTATTTAAAACAAAAGTTGAAATTTAAAAGATAATTTACACCCAATAACAGTAATCATCAATTTAGTACCTAATTTGTGTTAATCAGCATGCTAAATGCTTTACATCATCTTATTCCATCTTCACAACAACCCTAAGGACATGTTGGTTCTATTGCTATTTTCATTTCACAAATGAGGAAAATGAATCTCAGAGAGGTAAAGTAACTTGCCAGGAGGTCACACAGCTGGTACATGGTGGAGCATGGATGACAAATATGGGTGGCAAGCTAGGATACCAGGTGGGTCTATCTCTAAAACCAGTGTTCCTCTGTCACACCACAGGGTTTCCCAACACTCCTATCAGCCTCTTAAAAAGACGTGGGAAGCACATTTTCCATGGTCCTGTCTGCCAATTCTAAACTTCTAATTCTTTTCAGACTTCCCTAGCTCAGCACATTCAATCAAAAACATGCACACACATACTCCTCTGTTGTGTACACGTCATTTACTTTGTCCACATCCCCCCATTAAGCAACAATATCTTATTTTTGGAAAAGGGTCGGTTTCTGTCTTGGAGGATATTAAGCACGGTATTGATGGGGACACTGGGTGTCTCAGCTTTCCTGCCACATTAAGATTTCCAGGAAAGCTCTCTGCACAGATAAGACCCCTCGCTAAGCCCTATCAACAATGACAGTTCTAGGAAGGGTAACTTCCAGCTGGAAGATAGACATCATTTTGTTCCTGAAAGGACACTAATCATTAATATATGACTAAACCTAAGTTAGTTAATACAATCAAGGTGAGTTCAGATGTCTGCTGTGGAAAATTAGTGGAGTCTCTCTGTCCAGGAACACAAACAGGTAAAATACAGTGTTTTTGTTGTTGTTTTTCCCTGTAAACCACCTTGCAAAAGAAATAATCAGAAGATAAAGGAAATACTTCATGCAAGAACAGTCTGGTAGTTTGTGTCCATTTAGAGACAAATCAATGACATCACAAGAGCATACATGCTAGAGATCAAAGATTATGAATATTCAAGTGCAGGGGCAAACAATCTTATCTAAGCCAAGATTCTGAAGATTCTGGTAAAGAGGTCACAGCCTGTTCTGTGAAAGGAATGGGGGACTTTCTCTCTTCAAAGCCCTATGAAATATTTAATATGAAAAAAAATGTTGTTGGAATCAACTCAGGAAAGGCATGCTCCAGTGTCCAGCCCCCAAGCTACTTGGTAATGCAGGATGGTCTGCTGGAAGATCTGCCATCTGTGTGACGATGGTCAGAAGGCCTTTTCCTTTCACCAAAAAGATTCAGTCTTGAAGCGTCTCAAGGAAAACCTGCCTTAGCTTGTAGTACTTCCACTTTCCCACCCAGATCCATCTCCTTCATCCCATAGCAGTAGAAGTTTTCAGTGTAGCAATTCGCACTTATCTGGTCACTTCACCTCTCTGTGCCTTGTCACTTTGGTAAAATGTGCCCCATCCTGTCTCTGCCGCTTTTATGAGAGATATTCCACTGACCTGATAGAGCATGGTGGCCGGGGGGGTGGGTGCAGAGTTATTCTGTGTAGTAGAGGGACTCAGTCCTGGAATTAAAGCAATATTCTAAAACAAAATGTTGCATGGCCATGCCTCTAAAGAGGGCTGGGCTGTTTTCTGGAATAAATTACTACTTTGTAGTAAAGTGGAAAAGGCCCTAAGAGTCTCACTCTTGGCCCTATTATCTCAGTGTCAGTTTCCTGCTAGTCTACAAATGCCTCAAGACACCAGCCTCTGGATTCCAGGTTTGCTCATTCTACAGCAGTTCTGAACAATGTTTCTGGGCAAGAGGCCACATGGTTCCCTTGTCTGTGCTAGAGGGTAAAGTTGGAGTGAGCAGGAAGGTAGAGGACACATATACTTAGGGCTTTTTTCTGGCAGTTTTGGACTACCTGGGTGTAGAGACATTGTCATCAGGCACCACCAAATTAGATGCTTAAGTGACAAGACTGCTTTTCACTGGGTAAAACATGTTTTCCATTTGTGAAAACATTTCACAGCAGAAAACTGGTTCAAAAGGAGGCAGCCTGGCAAAACCTACCAGCCAGTGTGCTTGAGATAAAGAAAAGCCCAATGGGCCGAGATCTGGGAGTTGGAATCAACTTTAATTTTTACACTCAAGTCTCAACAATTTGAATGTTGATATGCAAATGCCAGAGCTCTAAAAGGCATTCATTTTTGATTCAAACCCTTCAGTGTTTATCTATATCATGAGTTAAGGTTCCTTTCTATTAGAATCTCCAATTAGTTGGTAGATTTCTATAAGAGCTGGAAACATAATCTCCAAAGATGGCCACTGTGGCAGTTTTAAAACATGGCCATTGAAAGACGGCCACTATGTCCTCCCTTCTTCATCCTGACTTGGTTTGTAACTGCTTCAGCCCATAGAGTATGTTAGAAGTGTTACTCTGTCACTTTTAGGCTAGGTGAGAAAAG